AAACTTTAGTGCGGCAATTGCATATTATCAATTTCATGACGTTTAGAGATTTATGTTTGACAAAAGTTGTTGATATTGTTGGGTGTTTATTGCGTTTAACGTACTGAACATTTATGCAATTTAATTGTTGGGTGTTTATTGCATTTAACGTACTAAACATTTATGCAATTTAATTACATCTCTGTTTTAAAATGTCTTTAACTCATTTTCAAGTAGCCAAACATTATATATCTCAATCGTGCAAGCCTTCATATTATTTACTTGAGTTAATCTCGATACAAATATATTGAGTGAACTAATGTTTTCTGATTGTAAAGTCTTAACAGCTACCACATTGAGTTAATTTTCGGGAAATGTACAGTGTGAAACCTTCCAGATAAAAAAAAATATATATTAAAAAAGAAGGAAAACAAGAAGAAGATAAATTATATCAATGTAAGTGGCATAAATTTTAAGTTTTGGTGTAAGACCTTCAACCCGTAAATCCTAAGGTATTATTGGCAAATCTTATGAATTTAAAATTAAAATTTTTTGGTATAGCCTTCATAATTTAGGCCTGGGCACGGTCCGGTTCCACCCGATTTTCAGTCAAATTTAGAACCGGAACCATACTGTTCAACCGGTTCGGTCCGATCCAGTTGTGATGAAAAAGTAATTATTTAACCGAACCAACCCGGACCTGTTTAGATCCGATTCGGTTGCGGTTTTCTCGGTCTGGACCGGCAAACAATCCTAGGTCACTTTTTTTTCAAACTTCTCCACCAAACAATCATCTTCCCAGGTCCTCATTCGTCATTTGTAGGCGCATGGTTGAAGGAAAAAAAGCCCAAAATCATATTTCAGTAAAATAACAAAAATCTTTCAGCTTCTCTTGCTGCATTTTTCCAGCAACAGATCTAGTAAAACAAAAAACATATCCTCCAATCTATCGAGCAAAACAAAAAGAGAAATCAGACAGAGAGGAAGAGGAGAAGAAGAGGAGAAGAAGTTGAGGCAAGGTTTTCTTCAGGAGAGAGAGAGAGAGAATAAAAAAGAAAAAGAGAGAAGAAGACTGATCCGGTTGGTTTGGTCCGGTTTACGATTTGAGATTTTAAATGAATAGGTGTACCCAAACCAAACCGTTACTGTTGGCAAGCCAAATATTACAAAAATATTTTGCAACAAAGGGATTTGAACCCCACACCTCCATGTAAGAATCCTTCTTTCTTTCCACCGGAGCAAACAACCTTCTTGTGTGTTCTTTCAATAAATATGATATATAATTAGTTACTCAGAATAATAAATATTATAACAAAATGTGAGACATTGCAAGTGGACATGATGCATGCACTGCATCTGCCGAAACCAATGTTGTTTTTCCTTCTTTTGTATTTTTTTTATTCTTTTTCTTCTCCCCATATCTCAGTTTTCCCAACCCCTTCATTTTTTATTTGTTTCCCATCTTCTTCTTACTCTTTCCGTCACATCACTGTCCATCTCTCTTTTTTATTTCTATTTCCTTCTTCTCTCCCTCTCTCCCTCTCTCTTTCCTTTCTTCCTCCTCTTTCCTCTGTCAATCTCTGCAATTTTTTCCTCCTCCCATATCTCTCTCTTTTTTCTATTTTTTTTTCATGCTCTCTCGTCTTTCTAGTTTTCCATCGCTCTCTCTCCTCTTCCTCCTTCTCCTTCTTCTTCCCGCTGTCTCTGTCTTCTTCTTTTTCTATTTTTTTTCCCCTTCTTCTTCTTCCTTTCTCCCCTGTCTCAATCTCTCCCTCTATCTAATTTTTTCCTAGCTTTCTTCTTGCTCTCTCTCTTCAGCCTAAACCCGAAACCGAACCAAACCAAACCACAAACTCCGGTTAACCGAAATGGTCGGTTTTATTGGTTATGGTTCGGTGTACGGTTTCCAAAATAGCTAACCTGAAGCCTTCAGTTCGGTGTTCGGGTTGAGCCCAAAACCGAACCAACCCAGACCGAGGCCAGGCCTTGTTATATCTACCATGTGAATGTGACCAAGTAAAGGGTAAAGAACCTTCAAGGCAACTTCTTGTCTTTGACTGACGGTGATACTTCCTTTATGACGCGCACAAACTTTCTTTCAGTTCATGATGATGCTTTTTCTTTATTGTTGAATTTGAATATGGGAGAGAGCGAAAAGCTTAGACCTTTGCCTGTTTTTTTTTTGTGTGTGTGTGTGTGAATAATTTCAGTCGATGGCAGCTATGGGGTTTTTGATTTTGCGAGGTTATGCTTTTTCTTTTTGACTAACATATCTTCACAATTGTTTAGACTCTGGTTTGTCTGATTCTTAACGGAGCCTTACATGTGGCTTGTTTCTTATCCCTTTCCCACTTTTACTATTATTTGCAATTGATATAAACTGCTATGAAAAATAAAAATAAAAATAAAAATAATTACAGAGTTGCTTTCATGTCCTGTGAGTTCTGGCCCATGAGAGGGAGTGCTTCATTTGGACTTCATATGTGTTCTGAATTTTTCATCTCAGTAACAGAAGAAACCAAATTACCTCACAATAATTGGGGAGATCAATGAACTTGAGAATGATAACCAAACGCGGATTTCATTTGGACACCGATGAACTATTTAACCAATTTCACTATTACTGATGAAAAGGAAATTTCCTACAGAAGATAACATGAGCTCACCATGTTGTAACATCACTAACAAATAGGACAACTTATGTCATAAAATTGTTACATTAACGTGGTAAATTGAGCACATATCTCTTTTTCATTTTTATTTTTGTAGCCCACTTTTACCAAATTAGCCTTCATTGATTGGATTCACCTCATCAAGAGAAATTTTGTTTGCATTTTCAAGGTTAAGGAACCGGTAACTTCTTGTCTTTGATGGTAACGAGCTTTCTTTTTCTACATGATAAATAGGTTATATGAAAAAGTAGGTACTCGAAAAAAAAATTATATATAGGTAGGTTTCTTTGTTAGAGAGAAATAGGTACATTTACTTTTCAAGATGAAGTAAGAGTGCAGCATTTCAGTTTCATTTCCTGATGGTGCTGCTGAGAAAGAAAAACAGATTGATGAGTCACATGGGGCTCAAGCAGAAATGTCAGAGATTAATGAAGAAGAACACTCTGAAACTGTCACAGGTCCACAGGATCTTGATCATACTCCTCGGAAATACAAGAGTATAGCTGAAGTCTATGAAAGATGCAATGTATGCATCATTGAGCCTGAGTCATTTGAAGAAGCTGTTAAGGATGTCTCATGGAAGAAAGCAATGAAAAATGAGATTGAAATGATAGAGAAGAATAACACTTGGGAATTGGTTGATAGGCCCTCTGATAAACCAGTTATTGGAGTTAAGTGGGTGTATAAAACTAAGTTGAACTTGGATGGTTCTGTTCAGAAGAATAAAGCACGACTGGTAGCAAAAGGTTACTCTCAAAAGCCTGGAATAGACTTCAATGAGACCTTTGCACCAGTGGCAAGGCTAGATACAATTCGGATTTTGGTGGCTTTGGCAGCACAGAAAGGATGGAAGCTGTTCCAGCTTGATGTGAAATCAGCATTCTTGAATGGAGTGTTACATGAAGAAGTTTATGTTGACCAACCACCTGGCTTTGTGAGTAAAATCAAGGAAGATGGAGTTTACAGACTGAAGAAGGCTTTGTATGGCCTTAAACAAGCTCCAAGAGCTTGGTATGAAGAGATCAATTCCTATTTTGACAAGGCTGGTTTTAAAAGGAGTCTTAGTGAGGCAACTCTATATGTGAAATCTGCAAAGAGTGGCATTCTTATTGTTTCACTCTATGTAGATGACATTATCTACACTGGAAGTTCTAGAGAATTACTGATTGATTTCAAGACTGAAATGATGAAACAATACGAAATGACTGATCTTGGTCTATTGCATCATTTTCTGGGGTTAGGAGTGATACAAACTGAAACTTATATCTTCTTGCATCAGAAGAAATATGCAAAGACTCTTTTGGATAGGTTTGGCTTCAAGGATTGCAAGTCAATTGCTACTCCTCTTGCAGTGAATGAGAAACTGTCAAAGCAGGATGGTAGTGAACAAGCAGACGAAAGCCTATACAGGCAGGTGGTGGGAAGTCTGTTGTATCTGACTGCAACAAGACCTGATATTATGTTTGCAGCCAGTCTCTTAGCTAGATTCATGCACGGTCCTACTAGGAAACATATGGGGGTTGCTAAGAGAGTACTGAGGTACATACAAGGTTCACTGGATTATGGCATAGCCTATGAAAGAGGAAAAGAAGCAGTGCTAATTGGTTATTGTGATAGCGATTGGGCAGGAAGTGAGGATGATATGAAGAGTACATCTGGTTATGCATTCCACCTTGGTTCAGGTGTCTTTTCTTGGGCATCAATCAAGCAAACCAGTGTGGCTCTCTCCACTGCAGAAGCTGAATACGTGAGTGCAGCTGAAGCAACTGCACAAGCAATGTGGTTGAGGTTTGTTCTTTCAGATTTTGGTGAAGAACAGGTCAGTGCAACATCCATTCTATGTGATAATACCTCTGCTATAGCTATAACCAAAAATCCAGTGCATCATCACAAGACAAGGCATATAAACAGACGTTTTCATTTTATTCGTGATGCCTTACAAGATGGAGAAATTGAGTTGCTATACTGCAAGACAGAAGAGCAGACTGCAGATATCTTTACCAAAGCTCTAGCCAGAGATAGGTTTGAGTATTTGAGGAAGAAGCTTGGGGTCATTTCAGCTAAACACTTAGAAGGGAGTGTTGAAATATAAGTGTTAGCTGAAATATTTGTTAAGTCAGCTCAGATTGTATTTTCTGTATGGTTAAATGTGAGCCATTGGATTATAGTCCAATGGACAGCTAAGGTGTAATCGTAGGAAAAATGTAAGATTGTGCCATGTGTCTCTATCTCATAGGATAGATGAATGGATGGTTAGATTGAGCTGATGTAAGTAGGAATATTCTTTTTCCTAACGGTTTAATAACAAGCACGTGGTGTGCGTGTGTTTGGTAGAAGAGTGAGATAACAGACTCATTCTTGCTGCGATTGTTCTCTCTAATTTCTCTGTGTTCTTTCCCCTTTCATTAATTTCTGAGCTCCTTCATCAATAATCCAAAACCTAATCAGATCATAGTCTGAAAACTTCAACAATAATATAGAGGAAGAGAGAGAGAGAAGAGACAGAAACCTTATTCAGAAGAATATTTTCTGTGATCTCATAGGCACCTAGTCTATGACAATTGACCAAATCCAGCCACCGAACCCCCTGGGGAAGTTTTGGAAATTTTTCCAATGATGTGCAATTAGGCAAGAGTACCCGATCTACACTTGGTCGAAGCAATTCTGGAATTTCCTGAAGCCCCTTGTAACCATTTAATCTAAGAAACCATAAGTTGGCAAATTTACTAATGCATCCCGGACCTCTGAAAACATTGTTTCCCGATAGATCAAGAAATGTAAACGTGAGCCAGCAGTCAAGAGGCAGGACGAAGTTACTTTCTGATAAATTGCATCCTTGGAGATTAAAGAAAACTAGCTTGGGAAGCGCTAATGAGATGTTTGAGTCAGAGTTCACCTTATCGCCAAGTGTAGTGAGACGTTGCAATCCATATATCCTACGCAATGACGTAAATGTAAGGTTGTCACAATAACCAGCACTCATATATGTAATCCCAGCAAGATATGCAACTGATGATGGCAATCCTCTTATGCCACTTTCTCCGATATTCAAAATCACCAGGGATTCCAACTTGTCCTCTATTTCTGGGAAGCTCTCAAGCCTTCCACAATTACGTAGACAAAGCCTTTCCAGGGATTTCAATCTAAGTGTTGTTGCAAACCTTGTAAGCTTAAAGCATCCATCAAGATTCAATTCAACGAGTTTATCAAGGAGTCCAACAGAATCATCAACCTCAACCAAACTTGTACACTTACTTAGATTCAGCCACTTTACATTTGGGATTCCGGATAAGTCAGGGATTTTTTTTAAGAATTGACAACCACTCAAATTCAAAGATGTCAGCTTTGGCATATACTGTGAGACAAAAACATAAATTGGTAAATTATCAAATCCCTTAAAAAAAAACTTCGAATATATATATTTTTTGTTCCAAAAACAAGAACTCTATTTGAAATAGTAATAAATAAGAATAATTTCAATTGTTACCTTAAAATTTTCCAACTTTCTGATACTACCACAAGGCATATTGAACACAGCAAGATGCATTGCACAAAACTTGGATGGCAAAGAATGCAATTGGCATCGACCCCAATCAAGGAACCTCAACTCGTTGGGTAGATATTTAATGTGTCCAGATAGAATTGCATCACGATTTATGAAAATTTCAAGATTGTCCATCCCAGAGAAGCTTGGTGCATTCAATGTTATCACATTTGGCTTGGGAAACTCCACCATGATGCCTTTAATTTTTCCTGTGCCCTAAAATGGAAAATAATTAGTGTTAAGACTTTTCAAACCAAAATACAAGTACATTTTGTTAAGAAATTTCTAGGTTACATATGGTACTGGTTCTTTTCAAATGGAATATAAGAACCTATATTATACTTACTGTATTTTCAGTTAGAACATGGTAGACATCCTCATGAAACCATAATCTACTACGCTTGCCAGGCTCAATGGGGCACTCTTCGTGAACTATATCCTTTCCCATTTTTTCTAGCAAGTCATGCATCCAAATCCTATTACATTCAATAGTTATGATTGCCTTCTCAATGAGTACTTCTATACAATCTTGGGAGACCTTCTGCTTACAACTTCTTAGTACTTGTATCACATAGTCCTTATCTTCACCCTTGAAGAAGCATGCAATGTCAAGAAAAACTTGTTGCATTGAATTTTCCAATGCATCATAACTTTTTCGAAGTATTTTCTGAATACCTAAATAAGGTTCTCCTTCGTAACCATCTAATATAGCTTGCCAACGATGTATACCTTTATTACGAAGATGGGAACCTAAAAGTGTTATAGCTAGTGGAAGGCCTTGAGCATAGGCTATTGCTCGTTGTGCGAGTTCCAAATAATCATTTGGAGGTTCATTAATTCCGAAGACATTCAAACTGAAAAGTTCAAGAGCTTGGTAGTCAAATAACTTTTGGACCTCGTATATCAGCTCAATTCCATGACATTTTAGCAATCCGCTATCTTGTGTAGTTATGATGACTCTACTACCCTCACCAAACCAACCAACTCCAGCCAAGTTGTCTAATTGCTCCAACTGATTCACATCATCAAGAATTAAGAGAATCTTTTTATGCCTCAATAGTTTATGTATAATAGAGATACCTTTATCAGCACTGGCAATTTTCAACTTTTTACCTCCAAGAATCTCTTGAAGGAGAGTCTCCTGTTGTTGGATTAAGCCTCCATATTGTGGCATTGAATTTTCTCTAACATTTGGCAAGAAACAACTTCCTTCAAACTTATGGGCAATTTCATTCCATATAGCTTTTGCAATTGTTGTCTTGCCTATTCCAGATGCCCCCCATATCCCAACCATGAAGCGACCATTCCCACCAACATCCAAAAGCATTTCCACATCTTGTACTTGAGACTGAATTCCAACTGGGTACTTGGCCACATTCCAAAATGTGCGTTTCAATACTACAACTAAGATCTCTTCAACGATGTGGTTGATAAATGTAGCTTCAGACCTACCATTTAAAAAAATTTGACACATTTAAGAAATAAAATTTAAACATCCAAGCACGCAAAGAATACCATATTTAGGTACATAGTCTATTCAGCCGGCTGCCCTACTCCCCCGAGTTTGATTGTATAGTTCGCTAAAATAAGTTTCCGTTTGGATGGATCATGGAGGGATTGAAAAGAAGGGATGTGGATTTGAGAATAACTAGATGTAGTGCATTTTAAATAGATATTGAATGTATTTGGAACAACTAGACATAGTGCATTTGAAATAGATTTGAAGTGACTACATGTAAGGAATCATTTGAAATACATTTATCTTCTTCATCTCTCTCTAGGCCAAATCTTGACCTACATGAATTTCACTAATCTAAACAAACAAGATTACCTTATTATGTAATACAAATCCATAATTTGGAATCCTTCCATCGAAATGGAGCCTAAGTTCCTAACCACAAACAATATTGACTTGTTTTTTTTTAAGTATACGATAATATGTATCATTTATACTAGTCCGGCTAATATATGGGTTTTGAATCTTCTCCCTACACCTTTCAATTTTTCTCAAAACAGTTATGTAATACAAATCCATAATTTGGAATCCTTCCATCGAAATGGAGCCTAAGTTCCTAACCACAAACAATATTGACTTGTTAGTATACGATGATATGTATCATTTATACTAGTCCGGCTAATATATGGGTTTTGAATCTTCTCCCTACACCTTTCAATTTTTCTCAAAACAATACTTTTTTTTAATGAGTAACAATTAAATATAACCAAAGGAAAAAGGAGAGAAACCATTAAACTTGAAAAAGATAGAAGACCCTGAAAATAGACTCAAGTCACTAAATTAACCATATATATGTGCACAATAGAGGGTAGAAATATACTCTCCCGCCTTGCAAGTATATCCTTTCAAACTTGCTGCTTGTCTAAGAGCGCTTCTCCATCTTTGCATCTTCTCCGTACTATCCTTAAATCTGCAGCTAATGTCAGCAAATGCATCACCAAAACTATTTGTTTGGTTTCGTACATGCGACGGATCCACTTTGTAAAAAATGGGCCAAACTATTTGTTTCTTTGATGTTTTGCATCGAAGGATCTCAACGAGTTCTTCCAAGCACCAGCTTGAGGATGCGTAGTTTTCAGAGAATACAATGAGAGAAATCCGTGACTCTTCAATTGCTTTGAGAAGTGCTGGTGAGATTTTTTCTCCTCCTATAATCTCACGATCAATGAAGGTGTAGATCCCCTTATCGGACAAGGCCTTGTACAAATGATCTGTAAAATTGGTGCGTGTGTCCTTACCTCTAAAACTCAAAAACACATCATATGTCCATGGATCATGAGTGAGAAAAGTAGTAGTAGAAGAAGAAAAAGAAGAATGTCCTTGTTGGTTGGCCATAGGAGCCAAACTCAGATCAAAGAATAAGTTGTTATAAGAAGGTACCTATTTTCTAATTTGCTGTTGTGAATGTGATGAAGTTTTTGATGAAGTTTAAGAGTGAGGTTCCAATAATTAATGCAACTTCCGGTCTTCAACTTCCTTTGGTCTTCTGACGCGTATACTTCGGACTTTTGCTCACCTTTCTTCTACCTATGCAAGGATGTGGTTCATATTGTTTGAAAAAAAAAAGGCAGAAAAATTTGCGCAAATACTATCTAGACAAAGGAGTTATGTGCAATTATCAACCAAAGAAAATATATGGAGTGCTGCTATTTCTACCCGTTGTCCTATTTTTTCACCCACCTTATCTTCCCACCCACAATGTAACTTTGAAAAAACACAATCCTATCTTTCCACCCACCATTATTCCTAAAAGGCTTATTTACACCAATGCCCCCTGAAACTACGGTCAAATCTCACTTTGCCCCCCAAACTTAAAGTGACTCACTTACCCTGCTTGACTGTGATTTGGTGACCCACTTTGCCTCTTGCCGTCAACTCCATCCAAAATTCTATTAAAACTGATGACGTGGCAAGGGTGTTTGTGTAATTTTGTACCCATGGTTCATTATTCACCAATTGAGGGGTGACATGCCAAGTGGAACCACCTCCACATAGATGAAAATATAATTAAATAATATAATGATTAAAACTAATTTAACAATTAAAATAAAACATTAAAAAATTTAGAACTAAAAAAAATATCTCTCCCTACCTCTTTCTCTCTCTTTATCCGACCCTCTCACCCAAATCCCACCATACCTATTAGGGAGTTACAATAGTATTTCAGTTACAATAGTTAATCCTACTAATGATAGGAAATGGTCAGTTGTCAGTTACGTTGTTATTAGGCCATAACTCCATATTTATGTTCATGATAATGGCTTGTTGTAACTATAGATTGTTCTCTACAGACTTTATATATATTGTATAATGATCATATGAATGACTAAGGGAAAATCAGTTTCTACATGGTATCAGAGCTAATGGCTAACACCAATTAGCGATCCTCCAGTTGCCAACATTGAGAGTTGTTTGTACCATATCTGACCCTCCACTTATTTAGTGACACGTGGATCAGTGAAACTCCCCAAGTGCCCAAGGCTCCGAACAATTGGTATCGGCTACCGATGATATTGCCTCAAAGCAGCGAACGGTCGATACCGCCTAGCAGAGTTCACAATCGGTACCCCCTACCGATTCTGCAGAATCAACCTCGAAGGGCCCGCCCGAAATATCTAGAGACTCGTGTCAACCTCATAGGGCCCTCCCACGAGTCCCACATCGAAATTAAGTACTAAGAGCATAAAAAATGCCCTCTATAAATAGGCCCCTTCACTACAATACAAGGGTAAGACTTTTCAGCTTGACTTTTATGCTAAATACATTGTTAGCAACAAAAGCTCTTAGAAACAAACTTACTTGGGCATCGGAGGGTCTTAGGCTGGTTCCACACCGGTTCCATAGACCTCACGAGCCTTGGCTTCCTTCTATTCAGGATCAGCATCCAGGGACAGGAAGGAACTGCGTCAAGCACTCAATCGATCCCTAGATCGTCCACATTACTTGTAAGTTGCACTCATCTCTATCTGTTCAAGTTTTAGTGCCAACAGATTGGCGCCGTCTGTGGGAATCGCTTATCGATCAACCCATATATCAAAAACTCTGAGACCAAAAAATGAATCCATCTTCGTCCCTCCTTGCCGATGGCCCCATCCTCGGCATCGGTGGCGAGCCAAGCCCTGCTCCCCTGCTTCACACACCGCGGACAGAGACGCCTGTTTGGCCAAATACTCTGCAAGCCCGCGTGGAAACCCTGCAAAGGGAAATGGCGAGAATGCAGGAGCACAACAACATCCTCTCCTCCAAACTTGATGACACCCAGAGGCAACTGCATGATCAGCAAACGCACTCAACCCAGCCATAGGACGGTCTGGATCAGAACATGTAGCTTCGGCAAGAGAAGTCATTTAAAAGCGTGCGGAAGCCCAGCGCTCAAGATAGAGGGAAGCAGCAAGCCACAGGCAAGCCATCTGCCTCCCGAAGGCTGTTCGTACCCTCCCCAAGGGAGCGTCACCCAGAATACCAAGTTTACTCCGACTGCCGCGATAGGATCAACCATCGGTGCAAGGAACGGCAGCCCTCACCCATTCAGATCCGAGGAAAACTCAACGATCGGCGGTTAGAAGCGCTTGGACTGAAGTCCCCCTTGCCCCAAAGGTATGGCGCAATCAGCTGAAGCCCATGTTTGAAGGCATCGATGAAGAAGACCACTCCTTTATCATTGTCACTCAACGACTCTAACGGCCTTGGGATTCGCATCACTACCGAATCTGGGATGTGATACTCGGCCCGAATCTTGGCCAGCTTAGCCTCGATCAAGACATTCGGCTCCAAATGATCTACTCCGAACACCAGATCCTTCGGCTTCGCCATCGGGATCCGTTGCCTGCCCCTGACAACGTTCACTACCCCCTCTCCTGGCGCAGCAATTGACACATCGCCTGCGTCGCCACCTTCACGACCTGACGTCGAGGGCTCACTGCCTAGAGGCAATCTACGGGAAGTGCCACCAGCCTCGGTGCACACCCCTGCCCCTTTCACTATCTCACAACTCGAAGAGCTCCCAGATTCGGCACTCCTACTCTCCTCGGTAGAACTCCCCGAGGACGATTCGTCCTCAAATGCCCTCGGACTACGACTACGCTCGGATTCGGTGTCTGACATCTACAAACACAAACGAAGGGAAACTAAACGCCATGCTAGAATCCAACTCCCATTCTAAAGTCCTAAACACTTATGCTCATCTACATTCATGCTTGTTCATGCTTTGTTCATACAAAAATTCAACGAATTCAACACTTTGATTCACTAAAAATAAAAAACACAGCAACATACCTTGTTCACACGGTGGTTCCTAGTCATTGGAAATCGCCTCCGCCTTGTTAAAGCTCGCCGGAAATCGCCTACAACGCCTTCGCATAGTCGCCGGAAATCGCCTCTCACAAGCTCTGATTGCTCTCAAAAACTTCCAAGTATTTCAACTATCGTCCTTTCCTTACATTTATAGGACGAACCAAGCATCGGGAAACGAAGCGACGCATTGGGATACGAAACGACGCGACTCTTCACAGCCATGCCGACACGTGTCATGCATGCATGGAGGAGTCCAACCGTCGTCACTCGAAACGTTTCCAATCCTAAGTGATGCTTCCACTTCCCAGACGCTGCAACTCTCGCCACTTTTGAACGCAACTCCACTGGCAAACGGCAGGCACACATTGATGAGTTCTCACTCACCTTTAGTGCCGAACGGCAGACGCACATTGATGAGTTCTCACTCACCTCTCGTGCCGAACGGCAGACGCACATTGATGAGTTCTCACTCACCTCTAGTGCCGAACGGCAGGCGCACATTGATGAGTTCTCACTCACCTCTCGTGCCGAACG